AATTGAAACTCATTTTTAATAATTACTAAGTTTTATTAATATTTATTTTTAGTGAAAGTTTAGTGGTTTCTAAAYTAATAATTTTTTGATTGTTTAACCTCAATCTATTTATATTATTTGATTTATATTGTTGTTTTTAAAACCGCACTGGACTAGAAAAATAGGGAACTGCTCAGGTGATTGGTTCCGTTTTACCTAAGAATCATTATTTTGCCAAAAATCGTTGATTTGGTCAGCAAACCACTAACCCGGGAGGTCAAACCGTTTGAACCTTCCAATGGTTTTGGCCGTTTTTTATTTTCTTTTAATTCTTTTGTCAGAACGAGCCATTCGTTCAATTCGAACGATCAAACCGTTCGACCCGGGAACCGGACCTCTAACTGGTTCGTTGTCTGGTTCAGTTTTAAAACCTTGATTTATATTATACTATTCTCTCTCTCTCTCTCTCTCTCTCTCTCTCTTTATTTTAAGTGCAATAATAACATGCATTAAAATAAGAGGCCTTGGAAAATCCAAATGTCTCTCTTTAATAGTATGCAACTTTATTGATCTAATGAAGATATACAATGATTACTGTTTTATATTTTTAAAACAAAAGAAACTAAGAAAAAATGCAAAAAATGGAGAAAATAGATAAATACATTTCTCTCTCTCATTCTCTTTTAAATATAATAATTACATGCATTAAAATAAGAGGCCTTGAAAAACCCAATGGTCTCTTTCTAATAGTATACAACTTTATATATATATATAGATAGATAGATAGATAGATAGATAGATAGATAGATAGATAGATAGATAGATAGAAAGATGGATAAATTTGTACCAAAATTAATTATCTAAAATCACACTCATGCTCTTTTAAGTATTTTCAGTTTTGTGGTTGAGCTGGCCCATTAGTTCCATGTCCATTTCACTAGATTAAAAATGTTTGGTTGCAAAATCTGTTGATTTAGCCAATGACCTGACAAACCGAGTTGTATAACCGCTGAACAGTTTGACATGGTTAGTGGGTCGGCGGTCAGAATTTAATTATATATATTTATATATATATATATATTGTTCTATAATTAATAAAAAAAATTGTTATTTATCACATTTATTTTTACTTAAATGTATAATATCATATATTTCCATTTTTGTGCATATTTTATTTAAGCATTTATTATTTAATTGTTGATATCTTGACCCAAATAAATAAACCACAGACCAGCTACTTAGATGAAAAAGTGGTTTCTATTTCTGTGTTAGTTTTAAAAACACTGGCTCTTCTATTTTTTATTTTTCTGAAAATAATACAAACTATAAAAGCCCAACTGTCTTATTTCAAATAACACTCTACAAAGTACAAATGTTGAAAGAGAGTAGTAAATATAAAATGAAATAACCACCACTTAAAAAACAAACATAATTYTGATATACACTTTGAAATAGAAAAAGTGAAAACCCCAAATTTCAATTTACTTCTGTAAATCAAACAAATGATCAGCTTTTGAGATCAGCAGAGAGAAGACTATACATCACTATATCTCGACTGCTCCCCTTTACAATCAGATACTTTCTCAGAAAGCCCTCCCCGGTGAATCCGACCTTCTCTAGGACCCTCTGTGACCTCAAATTCTCCGAATCCACTAGAGCTTCGAGTCTCTCTAAATCTGGAAAATCATGGAACACAGAGGAGACAACCATCTTTGACAGCTTGAGTAGCGATACCTCGGTCCCAATGCTCGGAGGCCAGATGATATCCAAGTTCACCACGACATCTTTCATTGCCGAAGCCCAACGTGACTGAAATAGAACCAATCGACCGGTTTTTCAAACAAATTGTTCTTAACCAAGGATGCGGAATAGCGGATCCCCAATATAATTCAAGGCGTCTTCTCTAGATGTGTAAGTGTCCCATCTGCATATGCAGAAACGAGCCACTCGATCGTCTGTAACCCACACAATGAGATCATCCACGTCTGCAATAACTAATGGCCGGAGGGTGATGTCAGACAGTTCCTCCTTCTCTTCTCCTCCTTCCGGTTTGAAAGAAACTCCTTCCATTTCTTCTTTTGCGCCTTTTAGCTTTGGTTTCAATGAGCAAAGTAATATATTAATATTCTTATATTAGAGGGGGCATTACTCCATATTTATATGCGATACCCGAACAACACAGGCGGTAGCTGTTGCAGCGGCGGCGGACTTCCGAAGTACTCCCTCTCTCTCCCCCGTTCTCTCTTCTTCCCCTTTTGCCTTTCTCTCTTCCCCTTTCTTCTTCCCAATTTCCTCTGTTTTCCGTTCGTTGTTGCCGACAAAAATGAAACCGTCCCACCACCGCTTTGCCTGTACTTGTAGTTTTGACTTGAATGTTTCACAAGAAGCTTCTTCAGACAGTGGAAGCGGTGGTGGGACGGTTTCAAGATTGCCTGTACTAGCCCTTGCTGCCGACGAAAATGAAACCGTCCCACCACCGCCACTTCCCCCGGTCCCTGACACCACCATTACAGACCGGGTCTACATGGACTTCAGCCTTGGAGATGAGTTCGCCGCTTGCCAAGAAGCGGAGCCTTTGGGCCGCGTCGTGTTCGGCCTCTACGGCAAGCTTGTCCCTTTAACCGTCTCCAACTTTAAAGCCATGTGCACTGGCTCCTCCGGTTCGTCTTATAAAGAGAAAATCTTCCCGGGGCAGTTTCTCATGGCCGGTCGGCAGGGGCGGAGGGACAAGGGAGAGGTGAGGCCACCGTCTGGTCTAGTCAGGAATACGAAGACTGTGGATTCCAAGTCTTTCCTTCTCAGCCACTTGAGACCCGGTGTTCTCTCGTTGTGTTTGTCTGAAAATGACGACGATGAGGAGATCAAGCTTAACCCCAACTACAGGAATGTTGAGTTTCTGATCACAACGGGACCGGGGCCGTCTCCGCAGCTTGATAATACAAACATCGTCTTCGGAGCAGTGCTCGAAGGTTGGTTTTGTTTGAAGTGCATTTCCTTAGAGTTGCTGAGCTATCTTCTGTTATCATTTTTCCTATCTATGAGTGCTATTTTGAATTAATTCATCATCAAGCCAATCCATGTATAGGATTTTAGCTCAACAGCATTGTCAATTGACCCATTCCATTTTGAGAACCAAAGGTTATACTTTCCCTGTCATCAAGTTTATTCTACCAAAATTGGTTTGAACAGGGGATGGGATTCTTTGGCTTTTTTAATCTGTAGTTCTGTACTCTGTAAGCTTATGGTTCATATACTTTGTCCTGTTTTGAAGCTTGGGCTATTTGATTTTGGAGATTTGATATTGACCATCTTGTGTGTGGTGCACTAGCCTTCAGTTTGTTTTCCCCCTTTTTTATCAGCAACAGTAATTCATACTTTTTAGTTATGATTATGAGCGAAGAAGCTTCTTGTGAAATATTCATGTCAAAATTACAAGTACAGGCAATCTTGAAGCAGAATTTCCAGAGAAGGGCAAAGCGGTAGTGGGACGGTTTCATTTTTGTTGGCAGCAAGGAACATAAAAGAAGAAAGGGGGAGGGGAAGAAGAGAGGGAGGACTTCGGAAGTCTGTCGTCGCTATTATTCGTGTATCGTGAGGTCGGGAATAATTATTATAAATGTAATATATGGGAATTAAAAAATATTGTAACGAAAAAAGATTTTTATCTCACGGTCATAATACAGAGGGTGATAATTAGCGCTTATAACCCTCCAAGATTTAGAAGCATCAAAATGTTTTTTAACTCTAAGCCTCTAAGCTATCATCCAAAAGATGTGGAAGATGCAGTCCTAGATTTCAAAATGATGAAATATAATCCGATTCCAAAAGCGGCCCAATGTAGTGGCTCCAATACTAAGTTTCTAACGCTACATTTTATATTGACCACACCTAATGGAGATGGTGAGACACCCACCCCCTATTGCTGCATTAGAATGAGTTGGTGGAGCCACAAGTCCTGATGGTTGCCGCCTCTGAGGGAATTTATATTGATGCACCACACCCTCCCCACATATTGTGTGTGCATTGGGAACATCTTCCCTACGAGTTCTAATCTGTCTCCTCACCGGCTTGCGCTCCTTGTGCCAAGTTAATGGGATAGCCGTTAGCTTGTCCTGTTACTTCTTATTTCATCCAAAAAAATAATTTCCTTCTTTCGAGTTCAAATCTCAGTCTCTCACTCTTTCTATCGACCTGCCCTCCGAAACTCACACTGCCCCATCTCCTCCCTTGTCAGATCTTGCCGAGAAATGCGATGCCAACGATCGTTCCGACAAATACACGAAGGTATGTACTCCCTATCGTTCTCATCTCAGATATTCTAGAATATGTTTATCTCGTTTTTTTTTTTTTTAATTTTTCTTTTTTTGCAATAGAAAAAACGACCAAGGGAAGAATCGCCCATAGATATTCTCGAATCTATTCTCTCTTCCTCCTCCAGTACTCCATTCTAAGTTCACTGGTTTGAGTTTAACCATGGAATGCCCCCGGCTGAGTTGATAAGCCTTAGATTGCAGTTTGGAGGTTAAATAGATACTGTTGATGCTCGTATTGGCCGAGGTCAACATTGTCAATTCACTCCCAAGTCTAAGTAGACCCAAGGTATTGAAAGTCCGAGTACAGGCATGGCCGAGGAGTAGAGTCCATGACGAGGGAGATCCTTGGTCCATGGTCTGATATTCGTTGTGTCCGGTACACGAGGTGGATGAGGATCTCGGTATTGGTTTTGCAGGGAAGGAGAATGTTAGAGGCTTCGAGTGAAGACCCGAGGTGAGGACTTCGACGATGGTCAAATTGGTAAGAGGGTACGAGGTGGACAAGGTTTGAGGTGCGAACATCCAGATGAGGTCACAAGAGAGCAAGTAATCTCAAGAGTGTGCTAGAGAGCTGGAGTATTCCCCCTTTACCTAGAGGGGGTTGCTCCCTATTTATACTTGAGGTCGCTAAGGGGTAGGTGACCTTGGACGTTCTGGATGCAGTCCGTACCGAGGGCTCGATTGGCTCCGCGAGGTCTGCCAAGCCCAGCCTAGTGTGTGCCCTAACTGGTCCAACGCGAGGTGCTGGCATCGGCTCTACCCGCAACCTGATTGGTTCTGCTCTATTCTTTGCCGCTTCACGCATGTAGGCTCGCCATTGGCCCAGCTGGATGCGCCTACATCATTTGCCCCCCACTCCTGAGGCCAGGGTGGGGGTTCAAGATAGGAGGGGCCTCAGCTTCAGCCGAAGGGAGTGCATTGTCTCGTACCAGGAGGCGTCGATGGACCTGTGTGCATCGTGGCCTGCAGTGGCGTCGGTATGCCTTTCCTTTGAACTGCGAGGATGGTCGAGGCTCATGCAGGGCCTTGGCTCGGCTGCACCTGTAGAGGGGGGCCTTGGCTTTGGCTCTGAGTTTGCCGTGGTGCGAGGTGGGCGAAAGGGAGGTTGCCCCCCCAGTCTTGTGAATGCTGGGTGCGTCTCGCGAGGCCTCTTTTTCGGTTGAGGATGCCGAGGAGGAAGTGCAAGGGTACCCAAGCTGGTGCCTTGGTCGCTTTGTGAGGGATCTCCTTATGCGGTGTCGTGGGTCATGAAGGAAACAGTTCCCGAAGCCGGATACAGGTCACGCTGGTTGTGAGTCCCCAAATTGGTGAGTTGGGGGCCGAGCCCTTGATGGGTGGTTGAGTTATCACTGTAAGGAGGACGAGAGGTGGGTAAACCGGGCAACGCTTTTGTGGAGTCAGCATGGTTGGGCTAACCAGTGAGTCGCGGTGAGGTGTTTTAGTTTGCCAAGCGTCGTTTCGTCTACCCGAGGCAGGCCACGCGTGTCTGTCAACAGACGGGTAGCAAAGGTAGTTGTTTGTCAGTCATTGGATCCCACGCGATCTAGGCCGTCAAATTTTCTTTAAATAGGGGCCTCGACTTTGGCCATCACTTGTTCACTAGTGCTTTCGCTTCCAAGAGTTTCTTGCTTCGCTAGAGCCCTCGGTTTCAGTTGCTCACCTTCATCTTCATTGTCCTCGTCTTCTTCGTCTTGTTTGGTACAATTTCTTGTAGAGATGCCTGTGGACGCCAAGAGACTGCTACTGGAGGGCGCCTTGGCCAAGAAGAAGGGCCAGGCAAAGGGCACCTCGGGGGGG